GCCCTTTAAGATCATCAACTCTAACCATTGACCCAGCGCTGCCAGGCCCAGCACTAACCTGTGGCCTTGAGCACCTCATCTCCACGGCTTGTAAATCCCTCCAGGGGTGGGGACTCCCCCTCTGCCCTGGGCAGCCTGTGCCAGGGCTTGACGACCCTTGGGTGGGGCTGTTGCTGGTGACAGGGGTCGGTGTGACCCGAGGGCAGGACCCGGCCCTTGGCCGCGGCGAAGCTCTGACGATTGGCCTGGGTCCCTCGCTCCAGCCTGTGCAGGGCCCTCGGGAGCCTCGCTGCCCTCCAGCAGATCAGCAGCGCTCTCACCCAGCCTGGTGCCACCCGCAAACTCCCTGAGGGAGCGCTCGATGCCCTCGCGCGGGTCAGGGATGAAGATATCAAACAGGAGTGGCCCCGGCCCTGAGCCCCGGGTGACCCTGCTTGTGACCGGCCGGCAACTGGGCTGAGCCCCGTTCACCGCCCTCTCTGGGGAACCAGCCCCGTGTAAACGCATGAAGTGACCGGGGCTGGGAGCAGAGCAGAGTCTGCTGCTGGGTACAGCCCAGCCGCTCTGTGGGGGGCAAGACCAGCCGGCTGCCCGGGGGCTTTTGTACGGAGCCGCTGTTGCTTCTGTGTGTACTCAGCCGGTCTCCTAAACCGGGCTGGGAAGAGCTGGTCCTGGGCTGGCATCTTTAGCCCAGGGCCTGAGAGCTGGGCAGATGAGGAAAAGAATCTGGGAGCACATGGAGTGGTAAAGGAAAGTTCTGGAGAGGCCAGACAGGTCTTTGAGGCCGCTCTGGTCTGTATTTGTAGCCTTTCACCAGTATTAATTCCCACCAAGTAGTTTCAGAGGGCTGGACTTGCACCTCCCACACTAACACTGTTCCTTCTGCTTTGCCTTGTTAGTGGAATCCGGGAAAATAATATGTACTCCAGAAAAACTCGTGAAAGATCTCCTCGAAGAGCATCCAGCGTTGGATGGTTTAATGCAAGAACAGCTGGAGCAGCTGTTGCAGAAGCGCTCTCAGGGAGTTCTGATATTTTCCAGAAGCTGGGCTGCTGAGGTTGGCTTGCCAAAAAATCAGAACGTCGTTTGTGATGCTCTCCTGATAGCCGGGAAAAGCCAGCCCATCCTCTACACAGTCTGTCAGAGCCGCATCTCAGAGGATTTGTTCCAGTACTCCAGGGGCGTGGCCCAGAGGCTGAAGGAGAAATTAGTCAACACTGGGGGCTACATTCACAAACTGTGCGTGATCCCGAAGCTCCTGGCTTTGCCTCCCAACAGGAGCTGTGGAGAAGGACGGGATCGGGATATTCAAGAGCTGTATCCCCAAAATCAAGAGCTGTATCCCCAAAACTACAGTCAAATTAATAACGGCAACTTGCAGGCCCTCTTGCGTGCTCTCACCGTAGCTCTGCTGACTTTTGAGTCCTTTTTAAGTGACCGCGTTGGTTGTGAGTTTTTGAACCTCCTGACCATGAGACAATACCAGCTGCTGTCAGAAAACCTTCACAGAACTAGGAGGCTGTATGTTTATGGCCTGCCAGGAACAGGCAAAACTGTAGTGGCTCTGAAGATCATAGAGAAAATCAGAGAGATGCTGCCGTGCGCACCAGAGGAAGTTCTTTATGTGTGCGAGTATACGCCTCTCAGAGATCTTGTGCGGTAAGTGTTTCCTCCAGCGTGGGTCCTCCCTGGGGTCACGGTTGGCTCCAGGCGCATCCTCTGCTCCTGCGCCGTCTCCCTCTCCCCTGGCCTGGGCTCCTCCCCGGGCTGCTGCCTCCTG